TGTGAAGTGCACCAGTCCCTCCTGCAGCAAAGAACCCCCACAGCATGATGCTGCCACCCACGTGCTTCACGGTTGGGATGGTGTCCTCGGCTTGCAAGCACCCCCTTTTTCCTCCAAACATAACGATGGTCATTATGGCCAAACAGCTCTATTTTTGTTTAATCAGACCAGAGGACATTTCTCCAAAAAGTACGATCTTTGTCCCCATGTGCAGTTGCAAACCATAGTCTGGCTTTCTTATGGTGGTTTTGCAGCAGTGGCTTCTTCCTTGCTGAGCGGCCTTTCAGGTTATGTCGATATAGGACTCGTTTTAATGTGGATAGATAGTTTTGTACCCGTTTCCTCCAGCATCTTCACAAGGTCCTTTGCTGTTGTTCTGGGATTGATTTGCACTTTTTGCACCAAAGTACATTAATCTCTAGGAGACAGAACGCGTCTCCTTCCTGAGCGGTATGACGGGTGCGTGGTCCCATGGTGTTTATACTTGCGTACTATTGTTTGTACAGATGAACGTGGTACCTTCAGGCGTTTGGAAATTGCTCCCAAGGATAAACCAGACTTGTGGAAGTCTACAATGTTTTTTTCTGAAGTCTTGGCTGATTTCTTTTGAATTTCCCATGATGTCAAGCAAAGAGGCACTGAGTTTGAAGGTAGGCCTTGAAATACATCCCCAGGTACACCTCCAAATGACTCAAATGATGTCAATTAGCCTATCAGAAGCTTCTAAAGCCATGACATCATTTTCTGGAATTTTCCAAGCTGTTTAAAGGCACAGTCAACTTAGTGTATGTAAACTTCTGACCCACTGGAATTGTGATACAGTGAATTATAAGTGAAATAATCTGTCTGTAAACAATTGTTGGAAAAATTACTTGTGTCATGCACAAAGTAGATGTCCTAACCGACTTGCCAAAACTTTAGTTTGTTACAAAGATATTTGTGGAGTGGTTGAAAAACTAGTTTTAATGACTCCAACCTAAGTGTATGTAAACTTCCGACTTCAACTGTATATTAAACCACAAGGGTGTACTAATGAGCTATGCAAGATAGAAGAAAATGAATCATAATAGGACTACTGAAATTTATATTATTTCAGTGTAGATAAGGGAAGGGCATGTTAAAATAAAAACATGACAGCCAGACAAGCCAGTGTATGAATCAAATGGATTTGCATATGAATGGAGTGGAAATTAGCTGACTTCGTGATCTAAGGTAAGTAACTTTTTAATGTGTCAAGCAGATTCCACGTTTTCTTTGCCATTTCCGAAACGTAGCAACGTTTAATACATGGATTTCATGTTGTAATGTTAACAAGGTACCCAAAAGTAGTTAGAATTAATGTTTTTATTTTATTAGCTAAACAAAACTTGTTTAAACAGTGAAATTGTCACGGAAGTCAGCCTTGTTTGCATAGCGATGATGAAAAGAAAGTAATTTAGGCTGTAATGATCTCCAAAATTCTAATCATAGGTCATCACACCGTTGATATAGCAACGGACGCTAATAGTTTATCGAATCCCATTGTGACGCAGAGGGGGACATTATTTGGCATGACAGGCCCCCAAAGTTTTTAGTAAGATAAAGAAATCACTTATTTTGTATTTATTTGGGGGGGATTACATTTTTTTGTAAAGAAAAATAGTCAAATCACCAGGAATTCAGCAAAAAATAAATTGGAAATCTGTTCCCAAGTATTCCAACGAAAAAAGAAAAAAAAAGAGACATGATCATATTAAATTGTTATTTTCAGATACTATCTCTTTTTGGGCTTAGTTGTGGTCAATTTGCATTTGACAAATTATTATAATTATGTTCCGGTCCCCCGACCATCCACTCGAACAGAAATCGGCCCGCAGCTGAATCTAGATGCCTACCCCTGCTTTAATGGCTCCACTGGGCAGATCGTCTCTCTTAGGGTGACTGGAATGAGCTTCCCTCAAACACACAGACACACACAGGGGAACTATGTTCCTCAGCTCATCCCAAAGACACACCTTGTCAGATTGTGTCTCATCTAGTCCAGACATGCCCAGGCAGAAACTATCTTTCCTTATAGGTGTGTTACTACTACTGGCAGTACTGTTCTTCAGTTCAATGGTTGTCCCTCACTCTGAACATGTTGCATGTTGGTTGGCTTGTTATCATTCCTCAAGTCACTTGTCAATCAAGTGACCAGAACAGCTCTAGCCCACTTAACCTTCTATTCAAATTAGACTTGGGACAAGTCACCTGTCAAAAGAAAAGGGGTAGCAGCCAGCTAACACTGCTACAGGCATAGCAGCTGGACAGATCAGGAGAAAAACGCTAATAGATTGGAGGCTGGGGCCTTAGGAGCCCTTGGTGCTGCAGTAGTCCCCTCCACTCTTTGTTGCCCTCATCCTCCTGCTGTCCTTAGCTCTATAGGAAACCCATGCAGCGCTGAGGGAGAGTGACGCCACAGAGCATGAATAATAGAGAGATCCTCATCCTACTACAACACTAAGGTCTTGAGGAGCATATAGGAACAAAGCTGTTATCCCCATTCACCTTCGAAGAGAAGGGATGTGTATAATGTATGTAACGTTATATAAATCAAGTGTGACTTTGTTATTAAGGAACATTTTATTTTGTTGGAGTAGCTTTTGCACAACGTGTAAAAACAGATTTACTGTAAGATCTTGTAAATCACTCAGTATCAATGACCCCATCGGTAAATAAATGTCATATTCCATTAACAGGAAATAACATTTGCGTGATTTATCACTTGGTGTCACACTCACTTTATTTATAGGTAGGGCAGCCAGGCCTACACAGTATATCAAAACCTGAGATAGGTCACAAAGTGGAGCCACATGCATTTTCATTAAAACAGCTGGAAAGTGCAGTGTAACATATAGGCCTACTACACACACAGAGTGATGATTGAGAGAGGAAATGGAGGAAAGAAATTGACTACATTTTCGTAACTCTCCCTCTCCAGCTGTCAGCCCGTTCGCTATCCCATGGGGGGGGGGGGGGGGGGGGGGGGGGGGGGGTTGCCACAGTGACAGGAGGCCACATGTCTTGGGGGCGTCGGTTTGGTCAAAGGACTCCATTGTTCTTGTGTTAAGCCGTCTTCTCTATGCCCGTCTGCCAGGCCCAGGGACAGGGTCTTCACACCCCGACACACACACACACACTGACCCAATGAACCCATAAAGTAGTAGGAGGCAACACAATCAGACATACACTGCAATTACAACACAAATCACCTTTATAGACAGACAGGAGGAATTAAGGCATTTATATTAGTCCAACTACAAGGATGGAACAAAGACAACTTGGTAAATGAATCAGATTCTATTAATAATGATTTCATGTAAGAAAGATAAAACTTACAAAAAAACTGAACAGAATGTATGTTGTAGTATTTCTTAGTATCTTTAAAAAGAAAGACTATTCCACATAGTAGTACAAGGGCACAATATCCAATGATGGATTGAATATCAAGTGGTTGAGAAGGCCTGATCAATTGTTTATGTGTATTGTCCTATTGCCTTCACCAGATGGTGACATGTCCCCACCTGGCCAATACAGTGCTTATCAGCTCAACCATCTATCTTCTACAGAGAAAAACAAAAGGGATCTTGAAATGAAATTAGACAAATCACTGCTTTACCCTTAGTTTACACACTTAATATAGCCATAAACTATATTTGTCCTGTATTGGATGGGTTAGGTATAGTCAGTTCTATCACACTACATTTTATTCTTTGAGTTCTCCTTACCTATTATGAAAATATGGATTTCACCAAAGGTTTGATAATGAACATATTAGTCCTATGATTGGTCTAAGTCTTGGTTGGGTCTTTTTGTGCTGCTGTACGGTCTTTGGGCCTTAGTTCAGAGGGGAGAGTGACCTCTACTGGTCAACTACCAACATCCAGAATTAAATTGCCTATTAAAGTATATGATCCTTGCAGACTGTTTTTATTGCATACATTAGGCCTCTGCTATTTTATTTATTTCTGCATTTACCAGAGCGTATATCCATATGTAGAGCACATTATTTTCCTTTCCATTAGCTAAAACATCCACTTCATGTCTATAAAATAGGGAGGAAGCATGGTTCAGCTCAGGCTGTAATGGTCAAAAGAGCCAAGGAGAAACATCCTGTCCGAAGGGGAAATGTAGAACAGTATGACTTACTACAATTGTGTTCAATGGTGACATAATATGTAGTCTGATTACCACTGGAGTGCCTTAGTATTGATTGGTAGATAATTGTGCTCCTCTGTGTATATATTGATAAGCTTGGTTTGTGAAACCAGCAACAGATAACTACAGTCTGATTGATCTATTGTACGAAATAAACAATTGTTTTTACTAGAACATATACAGTAATCACAGGAGGCTGCTGAGGGGAGGACAGATAATACATGTCTGGAACAGAGCAAATTGAATGGCATCAAACACATGGTTTCCATTCCTCCAATTCCGCTCCAGCCATTACCATGAGCCCGTCCTCTCCAATTAAGTTGCCACCAATGCCACCAACCTCCTATGATATACTGTATATTTTACCATTTAAACTTTATTTAGACATGTTTTTATAAATGTGTATTTCAAGAGAGGCCTGTATAATATTCAGACAATGAATGGTTTGGAAGATCCCCATTTTATTTAATGGATACAGGAGGTACACATAAAAAAAAAATATGCCAGGCAGTTCAATCACATTAAAGGAAGATCTTATTCTATTTACACAACTAGTTAATTACTAAAAACTAGAAGGTTTATAAAACTCCCAACGACCAATTAACTCAGAACCACATCCCATTATCTTCTCTAACAGTATCAAAAGGCAGGCTTGCATCTGAAATGCTACCCTATTCACTATAAAATGCACTACTTTTCACCAACACTGGTCAAAAGTAGTGCACTACATAGTGAATAGGGCGCTAGTTCAGACACAGCCAGTGTCCAGTAGCCGACAGGCTAGGAGCAGTGTGAGCGGCTCATAGGTCCATGTGGTCCATTTACTCCAGGGGAGGGGGCAGTAGAGCCTGGATTGAGCTGCGTCGGCCCCTGGTCTTCCTGCGGATAGCCCTGATGGAGTCTGGGGAGGTGTGGGGCAGCCAGGCTAGGCCGGAGCCTCTGGCCTCCAGGGTGCTGCTCTGGCTCTGGTTCCTCAGGCTGCGGCGGACAGACCGATGCCCCCTGCTGGGAAGAGGCCGCAGCACGTCATCGATGCTGAACTCTTCTTGTGCCCAGGGGGGAAGGAGGGAATCTCGGAAGGAGGAGGCCTGTTCTGTAATGTTACCCAGCTCCATCTCTGACCTGTGGTTGTCATTCTCCACCTCCTGCCCGCTCTCCTCCACTGCCTCTGGACCGTTTGACTGGGGTGCCTGCGCCTCCTCTATGACTGATCTGGCGTATATAGAACTCCTTCTACCCCTGGAGCGGCCCGGGGCCCGAGCTTCTCCTCTATGCTTGCCTTTGTTTGGTCTCTGTTCTACACGGCTCACTGCCTCCTGCTCTGATATAGCCACTGTGGTGCTAACCTCATCTGTAGGAGGGCAGGGTGTAGTGTCTGCCCTAACTGGATTTTCCCCACTCCTACCTGCATCTGGTAGTGTGCCAGTGCATTGATCTGTATCTGTATCTACAGGGTATGAGGTACACTGTGCATTAGGTTCACCCTCTCTGTCACCAGGTACTGTGTGCTTGGCTGGGCTGGACTCTGAAACCTCTGGCTGGCTTGTTTCTGTTGAGTCTTGTTCTGCATCAGTGTTCTCTACCTGCTCTTCTGGGTCTTCACTGAGACAGTAATCAACAGGAACACTCACCTTCCTGCCCTTCCCTCTATCTCCTCTAATAAAACTCTGTTCTTTCTGCTCTTTGGTTCTGGAGGTATTTGTTGGACCCGACCGTCTCCTCCCAGCTCGTGCTGCTCTCCCAGTCCCAGAGCGGCCTGTGGTGGAACATACAAGGGCCTGGCGGTCTTCTGAAGGCCCATCAGAGGGCTCTGCAGCTGGGGTGGTGTCTTCTGGTGAGTCCCCGCTGTCCACGGGGCACAAGCGGCGTTGCCACAGCGCTGCAGCCATGACCACTCCAGTGATTGGGTCGCTGTTAATGACATCTTCCAATAGGCTGGAGTCTACTTTGGCTGTGGAGGGAGGACACACAGCATGGGTTCCTTAAGCAATAAGGCCCGAGGGTGTGGTATATTGACCATATACAACAAACCCCAGAGGTGCCTTATTGCTATTATAAACAGGTTACCAACGTAATTAGTGCAGTAAAAATACATGTTTTGTCATACCCGTGGTATACGGTATGATATACCACTGCTATCAGCAGTTTATAATACTGTCTAGACTACAGCTACTACTACAGACTGTTGAATGTCTGTACTTGGACATGCTCCGAGTCAGATTGAATGGCCTATGTGCTTTGTGAGAATGCTTACACAGTAGCAGCGTTCTAATTTATTATTGACTGTACTTACTACTGTATTTCAAGTGTCTGAATCAGTGAGAGTGGAGAGTGCCTTTACTTTAGTGGTGTATCTTAAAATCAAATCAAATGTATTGGTCACATACACATGGTTAGAAGATGTTATTGCGAGTGTAGCGAAATGCTTGTGCTTCTAGTTCCTACAGTGCAGCAATATCTAGCAAGTAATATCTAACAGCTCCACAACGAAAACCTAATACACACAAATCTAAGTAAAGGAATGGAATAAGAATATATAAACATATGGATGAGTAATGTCATTATCAGAGTGGCATAGGCTAAGATGCAATAGATAGTATAGAATACAGTATATACATATGAGATGGGTAATGCAAGATATGTGTCTTCATAAGTGAGTGGGGGTGTAGGTATACGTGAAATCAGCAGTGGAAGCCTTGCTCTCACCAATCCAATCATATTTGATCAATGATTAGTTCAAGGAAGGAATGTTTCTTCCTGGGTATTCAAACAGAGCCTAACAGCAAAGTGCTTACCCGTGTGTCTGCAGGTGTGGGGGTGTTGAGGGTTGGGGGAGCAGCTGAGGGAGGACAGGTTCTCCGTGATGGGGCTGAGGTTGGGGTTCTTGGATGCGTAGTCTCTCTTCCCGTACAGAGAGCGGTTTACCGCCTTCTTCCCAAAGCCACGCTTTGCTGAGTTCTGGAGAAACACAAACACCCAAGCTGGTTTGCCCCATCCTTACACAGGCATGCAAACTAGTCACCTTTTGGCGAAATTCGCCGTTTTGAATCCAAAATAGGCAACCTACGTTATTTGTATAGATCCAATGAGAAACTACTGGCTGTAAGCGAACGAGTGATGCACGTTTGGGGCAATATTGGCTGTATCCAACGATAACGAAGAGGGAGAGAAGCCTGACCACGGAGACTGGGGTGAGAAGGTGATGAAGCGTACTTCATGAGCTGTAACCGAAAAACAACTGGCATTTGGAAAGTTTGAGGTGAGGGAGCAAGTGTGGTGGAACAAGAATTGTTAGCATTGTTAAGCATCTTGCTAGCTGGATCGAATTATCATTTAGCTAGTTAACTAGCTAACGAACTAACTACCACGTGTTAACTAATGTTTTCCCTCTACAGTATGTGGTTCATTTTCAGAATGAGAGAATCAGGTGAAAATGAGGCGTTGCTTGTTAAACAAGTGGATTCAGGGATCAGGTGTAGGTGTAGCTGGACCTGGCTTAAGCTCGATGCCAGAGGTGAAAGGAAGACCACACAATTTCCCTCTTTCTCAATACAGTGGATAAAAATGGGTATGCCAGGTCTACTCTCTGCCTGAAAGAGATAAATTATGCCAACCAAGGGTCTCATGCTCTGCTGATGGCACATTATAGAACAGATGTCCACAGGCAGAAAGTGTACAAGGTAAAAACATGCAGTGTAGCCCAAAGCTATTGCTTTTGTTGTGTTGAACTTTACATGCAGTTGTGTGTGAATGGGGATTATTTTAGAGCTGATATTAATTTTTGACCCCCCCCTAGCAAGTGTCACCATTTTGGGCCCTCACCAGAGTTTGCATCCCTGCTTACAACCTTGTACCTCTTCTCATTTAGGTTTTGATATTGTTTTACTGTCACCTCTGAAGGATACAGTTATTACAACAATCACAGTAGACTTGCTTCTTTGGGCCCTTGAAACGCTAATTCCTTTCGTGTTCAGAACTAAAGTAAATCCTACAAGTACTCAAAACACCACCTTCTAAATATAGTTTGGTTCTTGCTCAAAATTGGAATAAAAAAAGCATCACCTAAATCGCTTGAGCGTGAGGAAAGCAGATTGACTGTGGCTTAATAAAAGTTAGAACGAGGCAAGTAGCTTGGTGAATGTAATACCTCCCTGAGGCTTAGCTCACTGTACTATCCACCGCCACAGCGTGTAATATTATAAGTCTCTGTCGAGAAAGTAAAGTGATGAGCAGAGCCCAGACTGACCTTCATCCTCCCACAGGCAGACTTGGCAGCCGTACGCGAAGACCTCTTCTTCACAGGCTTACTTTCCTCCTCTGGTTGCTGAAAGAACAGAGATAGATAAAAGTGAGGTATATGGAGAGAGAAATATGGAGAGAAATAGAGGGAGAAATAGGTAGTGAGAGAGAGAGAGGTGGCATTAGGACAGGATCTATTTAATTACACACAAGATCTTCCATTGAGATTAATCCTAGATCAACAGATAAAGATAGTTTTAATATTATGATAATATTAGTCCAGAGATAATCTTCTCATTGGTGTGTAAGTGGAGGGAATGAGGTTATCCTGTTCAGTGAATGAGTGGTGTGTTACCAGACCTTTCTCTTTCTGCTGCGAGAGCGGGCTGTGGCAGGAGCGGCTGGTTCTGGTTCACAGTCCAGGGCAGGGTCAGGCACTGGGGCAGCATCTACAGCAAACACACCTCGGCTTTAGAATCTCATTTGACACTCACTGGCACCACTGTAAATCAATGACTTGAGGCTGAGGAGGAGAGGTGCTGTTACGTAAGGAGAGAGAGGGTGTGGGCGGATGAAGTGGGAGTCAACTGAAGTGACTATATCTCACCTGGCAGTGCCTCACAAACAGAGTCCTCTTCTTGGAAAGCTGAGTTCAAATCGAGAGGTTGAGTCTCCAGCTCTGTAAATACATACAGCAAGTGACAACAATGTCATGTTTTACACAGAGCTTGACTAGAAATATAGCTTCCTCTCAGCAAAGATCACTGTTCCACAACCAACCTGCATTGTCCATCAATGAACTGTCAACATCTTCTTCCATTGACGGGAAGGTGATCTGAGGGCATAGAGAATTACTGCATTATTTACATGGTGAAACACAACAACCCACATGCTGGATTACCAAGAATAACAATTAAATGATTGTCTGTTCTCATTAGGGAACACTTTAGCAAAACGTTTTGGCAACGGAAAACAAGAGTTCCTTATTGGACGTTCAGGTAGTCCCTGTTTCAGTACATTTTCTTCCGTTTGGTGCCTAATGAATACAACCCTTGCTTCATCATTTTGGGACAGGTCAATCACTGTGTTAGTGAGTGACTTGTACCTTTCCCTGAGTGTCAGTGCTCTCCTGTTCCCCACAGCAGGGCCCCATAGTGAGGGATGGGGAGGCTCCAGTCAGAGAGGGGCTGCTGAAGTCCGGCTGGGCCAGGGTTAGGGGGGTCCTCTGGGGGGTCTTCAGCAGTGACCTCAGCTGGGACCCCCCGGCAGACGTTGGGATGCGGCCTGGGGTGCCCCCCTTCCGTAGAGGGGTGCTGGGGGGAAGATTCTTGTCAAAGAGCTCGGGGGGCAGCAGGATCCCGAAACGCACCTGCTTCTTCCTCTTCACAGTTGAGTTAACGTTACCACCAAAGGAATCAGCTTCGTCTAAAGGAAAAATAAATATTTACTCATCAATTGACCCTCCTCAAAACAGCTCCATTGAACCAACTGCTTCTCGTACAGAAAAATGTGGTTCCCTTTCAGTCGGTCGCTCGGTATGACATGCAATCACATTCACCTGAACTAAAAACACGCCCAACCAGCCAATTAATGCAGAGCCCACCCTCGGAAGCGCCGCCTTCCTGACTATAACACCTGGGCTCTGATTAATTTCCTAAATTCGTCGCTCTTCAGCTTGACTGAAGGAGAACTTGTCACAATTTACAAGCACACAAAGACTACTGGATTCGGCTCCAACTTAGGGGTCTGTTAGTGGGGAGAGAGTACTTGTCCCCATAGATGTTGCCAGTTTTGGGTCTTGGTATCGGTTTTTGTGTTTGCTAAAAGCCAACTACTTTCTGCTCTGCTTGTGTAGCTAATGCTTATAATATAATAATATGCCATTTAGCAGACGCTTTTATCCAAAGCGACTTACAGTCATGCGTGCATACATTTTACGTATGGGTGGTCCTGGGAATCAAACCCACTAACCTGGCGTTAAAAGCTCCATGTTCTACCAACTGAGACAAATAGGACCATGCTTCCAATTTGGGTAGAAATTTGGAATGCTTCCTATTTGTGTTTGCTAAAAGCCTACCACTTTGGATGTGAACCTCCGACCATGCCCTAGGGCATGTGAATTCACAATGAAAATTAAAAGATAGTCCTGTTTTCCTGCGGTGGAAACCCGCTCAAGCAGGTCCAGCTCCAGGCATAAACGACATAAGCGATCGCTTAGGGGCCCCAGACCCCAAAATATAGACAGTGCATTCAGAAATATTCATACCCCTTGACTTTTTCCACATTGTTGTTACATCCTGAATAAATAAATCTCACCCATCTACACACAAATACCCCATAATAACAAAAAGTAATTTATTTATTGAAAATAAAACAGAAATTTCTAATTTACATACAGTTCATTCAGAAAGTATTCAGACCCCTTGCCTTTTTCCACATTATTACGTTACAGCCTTATTCTAAAATGGATTAAATTGTTTTTTTCCTCATCAATCTAAACACAATACCCCATTATGACAAAGCAAAAAACAGGTTTTAGAAATGTTTGCAAATGTATTAAGAATAAAAACCTGATATCACATTTCCATAAGTATTCAGACCCTTTACTCAGTACATTGTTGAAGCACCTTTGGCAGCGATTACAGCCTTGAGTCTTCTTGGGTATGACGCTACAAGCTTGGCACTCCTGTATTTGGGGAGTTTCTCCCATTCTTCTCTGCAGATCCTCTCAAGCTCTGTCAGGTTGGATGGGGAGTGTCGCTGCACAGCTATTTTCAGGTCTCTCCAGAGATGTTCGATCGGGTTCAAGTCGGGGCTCTGGCTGGGCCACTCAAGGACATTGAGATTTGTCCTGAAACCACTCCTGTGTTGTCTTGGCTGTGTGCTTAGGGTCGTTGTCCTTTTGGAAGGTGAACCTTCACCCTAGTCTGAGGTCCTGAGCGCTCTGGAGCAGGTTTTCATCAAGGATATCTCTGTACATTGCTCTGTTCATCTTTGCCTCGATCCTGACTAGTCTCCCAGTCCCTGCCGCTGAAAAACATCCCCACAGCATGATGCTGCACCAACCATGCTTTACCATAGGGATGGTGCCAGGTTTCCTCCAGACGTGACGCTTGGCATTCAGGCCAAAGAGTTCAATCTTGTTTCATCAGACCAGAGAATCTTGTTTCTCATGGTCTGAGATTCTTTAGGTGCCTTTTGGCAAACTCCAAGCCGGCTGTCATGTGCCTTTTACTGAGGAGTGGCTTCCATCTAGCCACTCTACCATAAAGGCCTGATTGATGGAGTGCTGCAGAGATAGTTGTCCTTCTGGAAGGTTCTCCCATCTCCACAGAGGAACTCTGGATCCCTGTCAGAGTGACCATTGGGTTCTTGGTCACCTCCCTGACCAAGGACCTTCTCCCCCGATTGCTCAGTTGGGCCGGGGGGCCAGCTCTAGGAAGAGTCTTGGTGGTTCCAAACTGCTTCCATTTAAGAATGATGGAGGCCACTGTGTTCTTGGGGACCGTCAATGCTGCAGAAATTTTTTGGTACCCTGCCCCAGATCTGTGCCTCAACACAATCCTGTCTCGGAGCTCTACGGACAATTCCTTCGACCTCGAGGCTTGTTTTTTTGCTCTGATATGCACTGTCCAGGTGTGTGCCGGTCCAAATCATGTCCAATCAATTAAATGTACCACAGGTGGACTCCAATCAAGTTGTAGAAACATCTCAAGGATGATCAATGGAAACAGGATGCACTGGAGCTCAATTTCAAGTCATCTAGCAAACGGTCTGAATACTTATGTAAATAAGATATTTCAGTTGTTTATTTTTAATAAATGTACACACATTTCTAAACTTGTTTTCGCTTTGTCATTATGGGGTATTGTGTGTAAATTGAGGAAAAAATAATAATTTAATCCATTTTAGAATAAGGCTGTAACGTAACAAAATGTGGAAAAAGTCAAGGGGTCTGAATACTTTCCAAATGCACTTTATACACACCCCTTAGTCAATACATGTTAGAATCACATTTCGAAGCGATTACAGCTTTCTGGGTACGTTTCTAAGAGCTTTGCACACCTGGATTGTACAATATTTGCCCATTCTTTTAAAAGATTCTTCAAGCTCTGTCAAATTGGTTGTTGATCATTTCTTGACAACCATTTTCAAGTCTTGCCATCAATTTTCAAGCAGATTTAAGTCAAAACTGTTACTCCGCCACTCAGGAACATTCACTGTCTTCTTGGTAAGCAACTGCAGTGTACTCAGTGGTACTCAGTAATCTGTTGTATTGGATTTTCCCCAAACGTAACACTTTGCATTCAGGACATAAAGTTAATTGCTTAGCTAAATTTTTTTGCAGTATTACTTTAGTGCAAACAGGATGTATGTTTTGGAATATTTTTATTCTGTACAGGCTTCCTTCTTTTCACTGTCAATTAGGTTAGTATTGTGGAGTAACTACAATGTTGTTGATCCATACTTAGTTTTCTCCTGTCACAGCCATTAAACTCTAACTGCTTCTACATCTACATTGCTTGCTGTTTGGGGTTTTAGGCTGGGTTTCTGTATAGCACTTTGTGATATCTGCTGATGTAAAAAGGGCTTTATAAATACATTTGATTGATTGATTTTAAAGTCACCATTGGCCTCATGGTGAAATCCCTGAGCGGTTTCCTTACTCTCCGGCAACTGAGTTAGGAAGGACGCCTGTATCTTTGTAGTGACTGGGAGTATTGATACACCATCCAAAGTGTAATAACTTCACCATGCCCAAAGGGACATTCAATATCTACTTTCTAATTTATTTTTACCCATCTACCAATAGGTGCCCTTCTTGGCAAGGCATTGGAAAACCTCCCTGATCTGTGTGGTTGAATCTGTGTTTGAAATTCACTGCTCAACTGAGAGACCTTACATATAATTGTATGTTTGGGGTAGATAGATGAGGTAGTCATTCAAAACACTATTATTGCAGACAGTGCTACTTTTTATGTGACTTGTTCAGCTATTTTTTACTCCTGAACTAATTTAGGCTTGCCATAATAAAGGGGTTGAGTACTTATTGACTCAAGAGATTTCAGCTTCTCATTTTTAATTAATTTGTACAAATGTAGGAAAACAATTCCACTTCGACATTATGGGGTACTGTGTGTAGGCCAGTGACAAATCTCAGGCTGCAACACAAAATGTGGAAAAAGTCAAGGTGTATGAATACTTTGTGGAGGCAGGGTCTATACACTGAACAAAAATATAAACAACAATTTCAAATATTTTACTGAGTTACAATTCATATAAGGAAATCAGTCAATTGAAATACATTTATCAGGCCCTAATCTATGGATTTCACATGACTGGGAATACAGATATGCATCTACTGGTCACAGATACCATAAAAAAAAAAAGGTAGGGGTGTGGATCAGAACACCAGTCAGTATCTGGTGTGATCACCATTTGTCTCATGCAGCATGATGTCTCCTTTGCATAGATTTGATCAGGCTGTTGATTGTGGCCTGTGGAATGTTGTCCCACTCTTCAATGGCTGTGTGAAGTTGCTGGATATTGGCGGGAACTGGAACACGCCGTCGTACACGTCGATCCAGAGCATCCCAAAGATACTCAACGGGTGACATGCAGTGGAGGCTGCTGAGGGGAGGACGGCTCATAATAATGGCTGGAACGGAGAAACCATGTATTTGATACCATCCCACTCTTACCGCTCCAGACATTACCACGAGCCCGTCCTCCCCAATTAAGGTGCCACCAACCTCCTGTGGTGACATGTCTGGTGAGTATGCAGGCCATCGAAGAACTGGGACATTTTCAGCTTCCAGGAATTGTGTACATATCCTTGCGACACGGGCAGTGCATTATCATGATGAAACATGGCGGCGGATGAATGGCACGACAATGGGCCTCAGGATCTCGTCACAGTATCTCTGTGCATTCAAATTGCCATAGATAAAATGCAATTGTGTTTGTTGTCCGTAGTTTATGTATGTCCATACCATAACCCCACCGTGGGGCACTCTGTTCAAACGTTGACATAAGCAAACCGCTCGCCCACACGACGCCATACACGCTGTCTGACATCTGATATTTGAAGCAGCTTATGGTGGAGAATTTAACATTCAATTCTCTGGCAACAGCTCTGATGGACATTCCTGCAGTCAGCATGCCAATTGCACGCTCCCTCAAAACTTGAGAAATCTGTGGCATTGTGTTGTGTCACAAAACTGCACATTTTAGAGTGGCCTTTCATTGTCCCCAGCACAAGGTGCACCTATGTAATGATCATGCTGTTTAATCAGCTTCTTGATATGCCACACCTGTCAGGCGGATGGATTATCTTGGCAAAAGAAATGCTCACTAACAGGAATGTAAACTTGAGATAAATAAGCCTTTTGTGCTTAAGGAAAATTTCTAGAATCTTTTATT